GGGCCAGCCCGAGGCAGCTGGATGCAGTGCTAATACTGACCACTAGAGGGTACCAACCACACACTTTGCTCTCCTCTTTCCCTGAGCCTTGGGGCGGGGGCGGGGGCGGGGCTCCCCCAGGTCCCTGGGAGGACGAATCTACACTTGAGGTATTGTCCCAGGTCCTTGGACCTGCAGCAGGGATACAAACCAAGAAACAGAAATCCTGGGGACAGACACGGACCACAAGCGCTTCGTCCTATGCCCTGAAACCATCAGAGAATCTAAAAGTTGTAAGAGCTCTTGAAGGTTTGAGTCTCTTCCCCAGCTTTGGAACTCAGAACACATCAGGCCGAAAGATGCCCTGGATAAAAAAAAAAAAAAAAGTCCTTTCTCCAGAGCAGGTAGTGTGGTGCTACTCAGTTATTTAGTTATTTTAGTTTCTTTATTTTATTTTATTTCTTTTTTGTGATGGAGTCTCATTCTGTCACCCAGGCTGGAGTGCAGTGGCATGATCTTGCCTCACTGCAACCTCCACCCCTGGGTTGAAATGATTCTCCCTCCTCAGCCTCCCTAGTAGCTGGGATTACAGGCTCCCACCACTATGCCGGGCTGTTTTGTACTTTTTTAATAGAGAGGGGGTTTCAGTATGTTGGCCAGGCTGGTCTCGAACTCTTGATTTTAGGTGATCCACCCTCCCTGGCCTCCCAAAATACTGAGATCACTGGCATGAGCCACCGCTCCCAACCCAGTAATTTCAGCTTCTAAATCCCTCTGAGTGCAGGGATCCTGCCCCCAACACAAGGGGCTCTTTGCCTCATTTTGTCTTTCCATAAGGGGCAGCTTGTTCTTTCTCTATTCCCAGGTGAGAATGGCCCAGTGGCATGGGGTGCCTTGTAGAAACCTCACAGCAGGACAAGGCGAAGGAAGAGAAGGCCAGGACTGAGCCTCCTGTCTCCTGGTGCCCAGAGTTGGGGCTATTTCAATACCATCTGGAGGTCACAAGCATCAGATGCCCCCAGAGGTGAGAGCAGGAAAGAACATCCTCACGGGCACTGAAATCATCCCCCGCTGAGTTTAAGAGCATCTAGCACTTGACGCTATAGAAACAGAAGCAAGGAAGCAAGGAAACGCTTCTAGAAGTGGTTGGCTGTGGTGTTGGCAACCAACATTGAAAACCCACAGCCCTGTGCCCAGGATGTGAATGCTGGGGCCCTGCCATCTCCCCCCTTTCGGAGCAGAAGACAGACCTCCTTTTTCTGCCGTCATTCCCGAAGCATTACCCGACCAGCAGCCCAGACTCATCATCTGCTGGGAGGGCCCTGGGCTGTGGGCTGTTCTCCAGGCAGGGCTGCAGGAGGGTCCAAGAGGGGTGTCATCAATGATACCAGTTCTGAGAAAGCTGGGGCCCAGGGAGGGTGGAGACACCTCTTTCTCCATTCTCCTTCCAGCACCAGCAAAGAGGAGGAGCCAGGTGGAAATGGAGGAGGGTCCCTGAGCTCCACTTAGCTTCTGCCTCCCCCACCATCCTTCCTCCAATGTGAATTGGGACAGACGGCGCCCCATGACAGGGTCTTTTAGCCAGTGTTGGGGACTTAGATGTGGATTTTCGGCCATGGAAGAAGTCTCCAGCCTCCCTTAGGAATGAGCCCTAGCAGGGGCCCTAACTGGGGATCACTGCACAACTCCGCAGATAGGCACAGGGCTGGTGAGGCTCCCTAGACGGGTTACTGCCAGGAACACGTGGGAGCAGCCAGGGTACGGGAGTGTCTCCTGTCACCTCTCCACTTCTGTTGACCCCAGAGTTATGGTGACTCAGAGGACTCCAGGGAACCCTGGGGAAACAACTTTACAAAGGGTTACCATGGCAACCATGGACCAGAGGGAAGAACTGAGGCCCACAGGTGTGGGCAGAAGTCGGTGATCCTTTTCTGTAGTCTAGATCTTCCCAGGGCCTTGAGCAATGGAGACCACGTCCATCATTCATTGCTAGTAAAAAATCAACTTTGAATTAGACTTGAGATTTTCCTGACAGTCCCGGGAAGTGGCCCACTGTTGGGGCATCACTTGGGGCCAGATCCCTGGCTCCTGCAGGCTGAGAGACTACCCAACAAGAGCCTCCGCATGGCCAGTGGGGAGAGGCTGGGCTTCGCATCTCTGGTTTCAGCCTCAAAAGGCTCAGGATAGGCCAGACACTGTGGCTCACACCTGTAATCCCTCCACTTTGGGAGGCCGAGGTGGGTGGATCATGAGGTCAGGAGTTCAAGACCATCCTGGCCAAGATGGTGATATCCCGACTCTACTAAACAAACAAAAATTAGCCGGGCATGGTGGCAGGCACCTGCAATCCCAGCTACTCAGGAGGCTGAGGCAGGGAATTGCTTGAACCCGCAACATGGAGGTTGCAGTGAGCTGAGATCACGCCACTGCACTCCAGCCTTGGTGACAGAGTGAGACTCTGTATCAAAAACAAAACAAAACAAGACAAAAAGCTCAGGATAATCTCACAATCATCTTGGTTCCTTTAAAGAACCTCCCTTTATAATTTAGGATTAATGAATTTCTCTGTGTGTTTGGAAGCCCTTCCTATGTCCAACCTTGACTAACTTTAGGGTTCTGTGTGCCTGCTGTGGAAAGTCGCAGATCTGCTGTTGATCCTAAAGTGGTGTCTTTCAGGCTTTGAGATCTCCTGTTAGGTTCAAGACTGTGGGGTTGAGGACAATCACATTTTTCGAAGCCATACTCACCGGGTCTTAGGGATCGCCTCCGAGGGACTGGTGGGCGCTCCTTCCACTCCCACTTTGGTGATTTGCGGCCACACTTCCCACCTGCAGCTCTGTTCTTTCTTCCTTGAGATCAGAGGCTGTTTATCGTACTGGGACATACTCTACCTCCTTTTGGCTTCTAATGTCCTTTTCTGAGTTTGGTACCGAGTCAATTACTCAGCTCATTGGATTAAGGTCTTCAGGGAATATTATGTGGGGATTCCCAAGGGCTCTCCTAGGGGAGGTGAGGAAGATGATCAATACTTCTGCGTGTCCACCATGTGCTTGGGACTTACTGAGCCTAGGGATGTGAGTGAGGATACTGAGGCTCAAAGAGATCAGGTGGCTTGCCTGGAGCTCTCCCACTATCCAAGGCCTATCCAAGGCCCCAGGCTTTCCTTCCATGCCAAGATCTTTAGAAACCTCATCTAGTAAAGATGGTGGCACTACTAGGCATGGACACAGCTTGCCTCAGTGCAAAGCTAGCAGGACAGGGGTCAAGTCCCTGCACAGAGGATGTTCCATGAAGATGGGGGAATTGAACATGAGGAATTCAGCAGCAGAATGAGGTGTCTATAGGCATTAAGGAAAGTGGTAGAAAACAACCACCCAGTGTAGCTCGGTTTAGTGAACCGAGGCACATCATGCTGCCTATTTGTATTGCACGTTTCAGTGTACATCGTGTTTCACTTCCTGTATCTCGTTGGACCCTTAAGCTTGCCACATGATATGGCCGGGGGGTTCAGGCACGGAGAAAGGGCCTTGGAAGGCTTGGGGAGGAGAGGGGCAGGCACTGTTGTGTGTTGATGGGGTATTGTTTGCACTGGTTGATGATCTCTGAACAACCAAGAAGTACATAACGATCTACCTAACCGGACGTGCTAAGTAATTTCACTTTGGGGATGATTCTCCAGGGAGACAATCCATTGATAGAGAAGTGAAAAACATCGAGATGTGTCTAGTAGTTGTAGGAAGTCTGGGGTGCTTTCCTGATGGGGTGTCCTCAGCTGGAAATAGCCTCTCCTTCCTTTGACCTGTCCTGTGGCTATTTGCAGACATTTTATTCCTCTTACCAGACTGTAAGCTCTTTGAGGCTGGATTTCTTTTCTTTTCTTTTCTTTTTGTTTTTTGAGATGGAGTCTTGCTCTGTTGCCCAGGCTGGGGTGCAGTGGCACGATCTCAGCTCACTGCAAGCTCTACCCACCCCAGGTTCACGCCATTCTCCTGCCTCAGCCTCCTGAGTAGGTGGGACTATAGGCTGTCCGCCAGCACACCCGGTTAATATGTTGTATTTTTAGAGATGGGTTTTCACCGTGTTAGCCTGGATGGTCTTGAACTCCTGACCTTGTGATCCACCCGCCTCGGCCTTCTAAAGTACTGGGATTACAGGCGTGAGTCACTGTGCCCGGCCTGAGGCTGAATTTCTGCCTTTCGTCTATTCATTCTTTCACTCATTCTTCTATTCGTTCATTCACCGATTCCACAAGTAGTTGTTGTCTATAACATTTGCCAGAGATTGTACCAGGCAGATGGGCATATCTAGATAAACAAAAACACATGATCCTTTCTCTTCTGGAGCTAACAATCTACTGGCAGCAGAGATAATAGCAAACAAGTAAATATGTAACAGTAAAATAGAAATTTGGAATTCGAAACATTCCATGAGGTAAATAGGTAAGATATGGAGGGAGGGAATAAGCCAGAAGGTGACAAGACGAGGCAGCTGGCACAGCTCTAGGCCCAGGATTCAACAAGCGTCTACTGAGTGGACCCAGCACATGAGAGGACAGTGCTAAGCAGAGAAGTCAAATGTCCACTGGGCTGGGCATGGCCAGGTCGCCCATGCTGTGCTGACGTCCTCCTGCTGGTATAATTATTTAAAATGACAGGACAGGGAAGGGGCCATGGCTCATGCCTGTAATCCCAGCAATTTGGGAGGCCAAGTTGGGCAGATCACCTGAGGTCAGGAGTTGGAGACCAGTTTGGCCAATATGGTGAAACCCCGTCACTACCAAAAATACAAAAATTAGCTGAGCCTGGTCGCGCATGCCTGGATCCCAACTATTCGGGAGACTGAGGCAGGAGAATCGCTTGAACCAGGAGGCAGAGGTTGCAGTGAGCTAAGATCGTGCCAGTGCACTTCAGCCTGGTTCCCAATAGACCCCGTGGGCCCTACAGGTCGTCTTCCCAACCTGCCCCTTGCTCCATATCACCACCCTCCTCCCATAACATTATAGAAGGACACCTAGTCAGACAAAATGATGCAACTTAATTTTATTAGGACAAGGCTGTTGGACACTGGAGTGGCACCTTCCATGGCCAGGAGTGGCAATTGGGAGGGGTCACAAGGGATGCCACCCAGGCATCTAGAAGCCACAGCTGCCCTCCACAGCGCGGCACCGCACGGTGCGCAGGAATGTCTCGACCTTGTTCATGTCCTTCCTGAAGCAGTAGAGCAGCCTGTAGTTCTTGAGCAGTGTGTCATCGTTGTGCGAGTTTGTGTCATACTTGCTGTAGGTCTCCTTGAAGATCTGCCCAGTCCGGGGGCTGCCGTCTTCCAGCCTCTGCAAAGTGAAGGAAGAGAAGGAGAGGCTGAGCGCTTGGTCACTGTTGCCTCCCTCCCGCTCTCATTCATTCGTTTTCCTCCCTCCCCTTCAGGGTGTAGAGAGAGGCCTGGAGGATTCACGAGAGGAAATGAAGACTAAGGTGAGTTCTCTTAGGTCAGAGCCTGACTGCTAAAAAGAGGGCAGCAGTTTCTCTCCTCACCCCTCGAAGCCAGTGGGGTTCCAGGATTGGGAACCCCTGGGTCACCCTCACCCCCATCAGCGTTTGGATGCCTTCCTCTAGTTCTTTAGGTAGAGATAGATGTGAAGTTCGAGTGATACACCAGGTGTTGGTAAACACACTCCTGAGGACTGCACGGGCTCCAGCCACGACTGGATGAGCAGCAGGGAGATGTGGAGCAGCTCTAGGTTCTGCAGAGGAAGGACCAGCGGTTGCTGTGCTGCCGGGGGCTCTGACCACAGGCCTCCCCCATCCCGCCTGGGGGAGAAGGCATCCACTCACGGATTTCTGCTGTGTTTCCTCCTTGTTGGAGGGTGTCGGAATAGACTCTGAGAAGCAGAGGAGGTCTGGGGGTTGCGCAGGAATGAATACTTCTGTTCCTTTGGGATATAGGCTTCTTCCTAGGAGAAGGACCACCCACCAAGGTCTACCCTGCAGACCAGCTCCCGTTGTTACTTTTCTAGGAACCTCACTCAGCGTACGCTCATCTGCCTGCATTTCTGCTTCAGGAAACAACCCTGAGCTCCTATTCTCTCCCAGGACTTCCAGCCAGGGAAAGTCACCCTTCTTGCCACCCCTGATGTGCACCCATTCCCCAAGAGGCTTACAACTTCGGGTACGTGTCAATGCCAGCTTGTGCAGGTGATGGGCGCGGAAGCACAGCGGTGTAAAAAGCCAGGATAAGGGAATGGTTGGGAAGGCACTGCCTCTTGAAGCCAAGGTAGGCAGAGCAGGGCAATAGCCAGAATTAGGCATGTCCAGGAGCCTGGGGAGAAACCGGAGGGCAACAGAGGGAATGGAGAGCAAGATGCCAGTGCTGTCCCTGCTCCAGGAGCTGTTTTTTTTTTCTCCCTCCTCCAGGGACCAGAACATTCTGAGATTGGCCAAATATCTGGGCTGAGATGCCCCTGTCCCATCTACAGGGCTCCGCCTCTCCCCTCAGGACACATCGTGCAGAAATGGATTTTAGGGGGCGCTTACCTGCAGCCATTGCAGCTAGGTGGGCTGTCCGCAGGACCTAGTGTTCGGGAGTCGGGCCTTGGGATCTGGAGCTGGTCTCTTGTGGCCCTTTTTATACCCTGGCCCCTTATCTCTTGCTGCTTGACCCCACCTATTTCTCTGTACGTTTACGCATGGGGCCACTGATGTACCTGTGCTAATGGCTAATTAGAAGCTCCTCCCACACATGCTGGGATCATGCCCCCTGGCTTGTCATCTTTCCCTTCTCACCGTTACCGCATCGTAAGAGTTGTGCACAGAGTGTCGCCAGAGATACCCACCCAACTTGTCCTCTCTTTAAGGAGCAGGTGGGTGCCCTCTGGCAGCACATCATGGTGGCCAACCTGAACACGGGAAGGATGTCAGGATAGCCAGTCCTCGAGACCCCTACAGACCCCATCCCACTCTCTATCCTATCCCTTTCCTCCTCCTCACATGTCTCCCCTCCACCCAGCAGAGAAATGTGTGTGTTGCGAAAAGGCACCAAACACAGCCAATAGATTGTGGGGGTTCTGGGCAGGATTCAGTCCTGAATTCCACTTTTGCTGACTCCTCCTGGCCCGCCTGAGGCAACTGGATGCAGTGCTAACACTGACCACTAGAGGGAACCAACCCCACACTTTGCTCTCCCCTTTCCCTGAGTCGGGCGGGCGGTGGTGGTGGGGGGGAGCTCCCCAGGTCCCTGGGGATGAAGAACCCAGACTCATGGTATTGCCCCAGCTCCTTGGACCTGCAGCAGAGATGCAACCAAGAACAGATATCCCGGGGACAGACACGGACCACAAGCGCTTCCTCCCCTAGACCTGAAACCATCAGAGAATCGAAAAGTTGGAAGAGCTCTGGAAGGTTTGAGTGTCTTTCCCCAGCTTGGAACTCAGAACACATCAGGCCGAAGATGCCCTCTCCAGCCATGGAAGCCCCTCCTCTTTTTCTCCCCCTCCTTTCCAGAGCTGTATAGAGCTTATCCAGTTGCAAGGGCTGCCTGTGCATTCTCACGTCAGACCTGCCACTTGTCTTGTGAAGGAGGTGTTATTATCATCCCGTTTCACAGGTCAAGACACTGAGGCTGAGAGAGACTGATTGCATGAGCTACCTCAGCCAGGGCAGCAGATCTCCACAACCTTGCTCTTCCCACATTGTGTTACTCAAAGTCCTTTCTCCGGGCCGGGCACGGTGGCTCATGCCTGTAATCCCAGCATTTTGGGAGGCTGAGGTGGGTGGATCACTTAAGGTCAGGAGTGCAAGACCAGACTGGCCACCATGGGCAAAACTCCATCTCTCCTAAGAATACAAAATTAGCTGGGCGTGGTGGCACAAGCCTGTAAAAGTGGGAGGCTGAGGCAGGAGACTCACTTGAACCCAGGAGGCAGAGGTTGCCGTGAGCCAAGATGGTGCCACTGCACTCCAGCCTGCGTGACAGAGCGAGTCTCCATCTCAAAACAGATTAAAAAAAAAAGTCCTTTCTCCAGAGCAGGTAGTTGGTGCTACTCAGTTATTTAGTTATTTTAGTTTCTTCATTTTATTTTTATTTTATTTTTGAGATGGAGTATCATTCTGTTGCCCAGGCTGGAGTGCAGTAGCACAATCTTGCTCACTGCAACCTCCACCTCCTGGGTTCAAGTGATTCTCCCTCCTCACCTCCCTAGTAGCTGGGATTACAGGCACCCGCCACTATGCCAGGCTAAGTTTTGTACTTTTTTAGTAGAGATAGATTTCAGTATGTTGGCCAGGCTGGTCTCGAACTCTTGAGTTTAGATGATCCACCCTCCCTGGCCTCCCAAAATAGTGAGATGGCGCGAGCCACTGCTCCCAACCCAGTTATTTCAGCTTCTAAATCCCTCTGAGTGCAGGGATTCTGCCCACAACATAAGGGGCCTTTTGCCTCATTTCGTCTTTCCATAAGGGGCAAATTGTTCTTTCTCTATTCCCAGGTGAGAATGGCCCAGTGGCATGGGGTGCCTTGTAGAAACCTCACAGCAGGACAAGGCGAAGGCAGAGAAGGCCAGGACTGAGCCTCCTGTCTCCTGGTGCCCAGGGTTGGTGCTATTTCAATACCATCTGGAGGTCACAAGCATCAGATGCCTCCAGAGGTGAGAGCAGGAAAGAACATCCTCACGGGCACTGAAATCATCCCCCGCTGAGTTTAAGAGCATCTAGTACTTGACGCTGTAGAAACACAGGAAGGAAACAAGGAAACACTTCTAGAAGTGGTTGGCTGTGGTGTTGGCAACCAGCAATGAAAACCCACAGCCCTGTGGCCCAGGATGTGAATACTGGGGCCCTGCCGTCTCCCGTCTTTCAGAGAGGAAGCAGACCTCCTTTTTCTGCCTTCATTCCGAAGCATTACCCGACCAGGAGCCCAGACTCATCATCTGCTGGGAGGGCCCTGGGCTGTGGGCTGTTCTCCAGGCAGGGCTGCGGGAGGATCCAAGAGGGGTGTCATCAATGATACCAACTCTGAGAAAGATGGGGACAAGGGAGGGTGGAGACACCACTTTCCCCATTGCTCCTTCCAGCACCAGCAAAGAGGAGGAGCCAGGTGGAATGGAGGAGAGTCCCTGAGCTCCATGTAGCTTCTGCCTCCCCCACCATCCTTCCCCAATGTGAACTGGGACGGACAGATAGCACCCCGTGACAGGGCCTTTTAGCTAGTGCTGGGGACTTAGATGTGGGTTTTTGGCCATGGAAGAGTCTCCAGCCTCCTTAGGAATGAGGGCAGCAGGGGCCCTAACTGGGGATCACTCCAGAACTCCGTAGATGGGCACAGGGCTGGTGAGTTTCCTGAGACAGGTTACTGCCAGGAACACGTGGGACCAGCTAGGGCAGGGAGTGTCTCCTCTCTCCACTTCTGTTGACCTCAGAGTTATGGTGACTCAGAGGACTCTAGGGACCCCTGGGGAAACAACTTTACAAAGCGTTACCATGGCAACCATGGACCAGAGGGAAGAACTGAGGCCCACAGGTGTGGGCAGAAGTCGATGATCCTTTTCTCTAGTCTAGATCTTCCCAGGGCCTTAAGCAATGGAGACCATGTCCATCATTCATTGCTAGTAGAAAATCAACTTTGAATTAGACTTGGGATTTTCCTGACAGTCGTGGGGAGTGGCCCACTGTTGGGGCATCACCTGGGGCCAGATCCCTGGCTCCTGCAGGCTGAGAGACTACCCAATAAGAGCCTCCACATGGCCAGCGGGAGAGACTGGGCTTCGCATCTCTGGCGTCTGCTTCAAAAGGCTCAGGATAGGCTGGGCGTGGTGGCTCACGCCTGTAATCCCAACAGTTTGGGAGGCCGACACAGGTGGATCACCTGAGGTAAGGAGTTTGAGACCAGCATCGCCATCATGGTGAAACCCATCTCTACTGAAAATAGAAAAATTAGCTGCTCATGGTGACGTGCGTCTGTAATTCTAGCTATTGGAGAGGCTGCGGCATGAGAATTGCTTGAACCCGAGAGGCAGAGGTTGCCATGAGCCAAGATCATGCCTCTGCACTCCAGCTGGGGCAACAGAGTGAGACTGACTTTGTCTCCAAAAAAAAAAGAAAAAAGAAAAAAAAGGTAGAAAAATCCTAATCTCTGAGGTCACCATTATCTAGCTCCTTACCCACTGAGAAGCACAGATGGGAAGCAGGAGCCCCAGGGCCACCATGGCTCGAGCAGCATTATCATTTAGTCGGAATCCATAAGAACACCCTAGGTTTCATCTGGGACTCCCTGCCCATGGGGAAGATGGGAAAGAAGAGTTGACTCAAAGCAGAGATCTGCTAGTGCTCCGTTAGTAAGGAAAGCTGTTGGGTGGAGGGGACCACATTTGGGTGAGGAGAGGGAGCAGGGTGTGAAGGTAGTGAGGGAGTGTGGTGCACCGAACTCAGCTCTTTGGGAAACCGTTTTTTGCAGACAAGCCATGGTTAGAGGAATCCCGATGCTCTGGCAAACAGACCTGGCTGGAAGGGATGGAACACAGGCTTGCTTGTGTCCCAAAGGGAAACCCAGCTCCAGCCTTGGTGTGTACCTGGAATGGGGTGGTCTTGACCTTGAAGTGCCACAGAAGGCAACCCAGAACCACACCAGAGCCTACTGCTGCACAGCCACTAACCAGCTGGGCTCTGTCAGCAAAGACATTGCTGTCATTGTTCAAGGTAAACTTTGCTGCTCTGCTGCCGGGCGGAGGATGGAAATCCCTCAGGGGTTGGGATTCTTATCCAAGGATGAAAATAAGAAAGATTCTACTAGGTTGGGAAGAATGAGACTCAGAAGTGGGCCTGGTGGGCTGGGGTGGGTGATCCTCGTACTTTGTGACCTTCCTAACTCTGTCTTCTGTGCTTGGACAGGATTGGATGAAGGAATCAGCTCTGCCCTCTTTGTCGTTATTACCGGTTGCCCTTGGAGTGGGTGTCATCACCATAGCCTGTATTTGAGCTATCGGCCCTGCAAAGTGGACGGGAGGAAATTGCTCTCTAGACAGAAAGAGGAGGACAAGAGGAGAAAAGCCAGTTTACTGTTGAGGAAGAGAAAAAGTACAACTCATATAATTGACAGCTATTTGATGGAATGAGACTTCTGCTACTGTGGTTTCCCAGGGAGGGAAGAAGGGATAGAGGAGAAAGGAAGAAACAGAATGGCAGGCTGCATTTCCCTTTGTATTCTTCTGTCTGTAAAACAGTGTTTCAGGCCCCCATGTCCCAGGTCCTGTGTGTCCAGTACGTCCACAAGCTCACCTTTCCCTCTATCTCTCTCCCTCCTTTTTTTTCTCTTTTTGAGATGGAGTCTCACTGTTGTCACCTAGGCTGGAGTGCAATGATGCAGTCTCGGCTCACTGCAACTTCAGCCTCCAGGTTCAGGTGATTCTCCTGCCTCAGCCTCCCCAGTAGCTGGGATTACAGGTTGCACACCACCACGCCTGGCTGCCATTTCTTTATGGTTCCCACTGCCCTTTTCTCTTAAACGTCATGCTAAAGACAGGCCACATCTTAGAAATGCAACTCATATGTCATGGTTTTCTGATTTCTAACTGGGAACTCAATTTGTAGTCCAGGGACAGGACTTTGAAGGGAGTAAGTATCAAATACGGGGCTAGGAGTCAGGCTCTGTTCCCATCTCCACTTTCCATTGCTCCCTTGACCTGGGCTTCTGGAGTGCCAGCTCCCAGAGCTGAGCTTGTTTGACATCCATTAAGGATCAGTGGCAAGCTTCAACTCAGTAACCATCTGTTGTGGGTCTTGGGGGAGTATACAGATGGTAAGAAATTTCCACTTTGGGCCGGACAAGCATCCTATCTAGCCCAGTGTCCTGTCTGTGAAGTAGAAGGTAGAGTTCTTCCACGGAATTGGCGTCATAGGTTAAGCACTCCAAAACATCTCTGAATTCCTTTTGACAGAGAGATCAACTGTGAGTTCACATTTGCCAGTTTTTTTTTTTTTACCCATATGGGCGTCTAGGTTACAGTTCCCAATGTTTACTTCCCTTTTCATCAACAAGTGGATATTTTCATCTGTCTGAAAACAATTTCCCTGAAACTTCAAGAGGAATCCTCTTGTGCAAACGTTCATATGATTTATGATTCAGCTTCCTTTCTTGGTCCTTGGAAAAGAGTATATTCACCCTCGGAGAAGGCATGAGGAATCATAAAACCAGATCTTTTCTTCCAAATCAGTCAAGAAATGTTCACTGGAAAGTTGCTATGGTAAAAATAAAAGTGATTTATGATATCCAAATGCATTTCTCTACCTTCTGTGTCATTGCTGAAAGCTCTTTATTATGTCAAACAGTTGCATTTTATAACTTTTTTTTTTTAGATGGAGTCTCGCCCTGTTGCCCAGGCTGGAGTGCAGTCGCGCAATTTCGGCTCCCTTCAAACTCCACCTCCCAGGTTCAAGGATTCTCTGCCTCAGCCTCCAGAGTAGCTGGGATTACAGGTGCCCCACCATCATGCCCAGCTAATTTTTTGTGTTTTTAGTAGAAACAGCGTTTCACATCTTGGCCAGGCTGGTCTTGAAGTCCTGACCTCGTGATCCACGCACCTCGGCCTTCTAAAGTGCTGGATTACAGGTGTGAGCCACCGTCCCCAGCTGCATTTTATAACTTTAAGGACAATTTCTAAGGAAAAAACACCGTGTTGGATAGCATAAACAACCAGCCCAGGGCAGGGGGTGCATTAGCCTCAGGGCAGCAGCCTATTTGACCTGCTTTCAAAACTAAATTCAGGCCGGGGAGGTGGCTCACACCTGTAATCCCAGGTCTTTGAGAGGCTGAGGCAGGCGAATCACTTGAGCCCCGAGTTGGAATATCCTGGACAACATGGTGAAACCCCATTTCTACAAAAATACAAACTTAGTGTACTATACTGGCACGTGCCTGTAGTCCCAGCTACTTGAATCTGCGGATCAGAGAGTCTGAGGTGGGAGGATCACTTGAGCGCGGGAGGTGCAGGGTTGCAGCTAGTTGAGTCATGCACTGCACTCCAGCCTGGGTGACAGAGCCAGACCCTGTCTCAAAACAAAACAAATGAAACAAAAACAAAAACTGAAGTTCAACTTCCAGATAGAGAGAGGTGCGTAGCCTTCCAAATTGCAGATACTAGCTGAAAAAAATCGTGGCATAGACACCAGAAAGAAAACATTTTCCCATTCTTCTCAGACCTCCTCTGGGTCTGGTGTTATAGATTAAGTATAAAAATAACCCTTTGGTTTTCACCACATACAAGCGTGGGGATGCAGCGGTGAACAAAACATTGTCCCTGGCTTCACCAATTTATTAGGAAAGCTAGACAAACAAGTAGGAGATTACATTTGTGCATGAATTCCTATGACTGGGAAAGCAGATTGTTAAGAGAAAGCATAACTCAGATCAAGAAGGCTTCCTGGAGGGACATGAATATCTTGACTTTGCAAATAGCATCATTCCCCAACATGACCTTTTCAAACCTGGATGTTTCCACTAGGTGGAGCTACTGCTCTCTCATCCGTGAGTCTAATATAAATCATCACCTTCCCTGAATCGAGCATTTGGGGAATAAGTTAAGAAGCAGGTTTCAGAGACAGGAGTATAGAGCCGCCCCATCCGGGGATCCACAGCCATTTCGGTGTCAGGATCAGCCGCATCAGGGCTGTAGTTATCCTGTATCTGCAAACCCTGCCTCATGGCCTCAGTGCCTTGAAGCACAGCAAACAAAAAGGAAGGGAAAAATGAGCCAAGGTGGGTGGTGTGCACCTGTAATCCCAGCTATTGGGGAGGCTGAGGCAGGAGAATCGCTTGAAACGGGGTCGGAGGTTGCAGTGAACCAAGATGCGCTTGCACTTCAGCCTGGGCACGAGCAGACCTCCATCTTGAAGAAAATAAAAACAAAAACAAACAACACAAAACAAAACAACAAAAAAACCAAAAAGGAGGAAGAAGGGGGCCACTGGGACTTTCTAGTTCCAGCAGGGAGAGCCTGGAACTTAGCCGGCTGCTGCCTTGCTTGTCACTGCCACAGGGTGTCAGTGTTGACAGATGGTCCCACACAATACCATCAAACCAAGTGGGTCTGCAGATCCGGGTTCCCAGCTGCTGTGGATCTCTGAGGGAGGATGATCTCCTTCTCCAGGCCTGGTCCAGCTGCGCGTGTCCTCTTGCTTGGGTTTCCAGGGTTCCAGTTCTTAGAGCTCAGTAGTTTGGAAGAGCTGTCCGCAACGGTCTTCAGAGTAGGCTGGGTTACTTGGAACCCTTGTAGACTTGGAAACTCTGTTTGCTTTCCTTCCCGAAGGATCCACACCACCAGGGTCAGGCAGCCCCTTCTCACTGATTCTTTCTTTCTTCTTTCTTTTTTTTTTTTTGGAGATGGAGTCTCGCTCTGCCTCCCAGGCTGGAGTTCAGTGGCGTGATCTCGGCTCACTGCAACTTCCACTCCTGGCTTCAAGCAATTTTTCTTGTCTCGCCTCTGGAGTAGCTGGGATTACAGGTGTGTGCCACCATGTCCTGCTAATTTTTGTGTTATTGGTAGAGACAGGGCTTCATCATGTTGGCCAGGCTGATCTCAAACTCCTGACCTCAGGTGATCTGCCCACCTCTCAAAGTGCTGGGATTTCAGACTGAGCCACCAGCCCGGCTTCATTGATTCTTAAAGCAGGAAGGGTCTCACATCTCTCTTCCAGTATAATAGAGCTTCTGAGGGTAGCTGCCTTCATTGTCTATAGGAGGAGGTCCCACCCCCTAAATGATTTTGATCATATTCTTCCTGAACATTAAAGCAATTGGCTCACGCTTAAATTGCAGCTACCTTGAATATCTCCAGAGGAAGAGTGGCCTTTAATACTCCAAAAGTTTGTCGTCTTTATTATTATTTTTGAGACAGAATCTTGCTCAGCCACCCAGCTGCAGTGCAGTGGCATGATCAGCTCAGTGCAACTCTGCCTCCCAGGCTGGAGCGATTCTCGTGCCTCAGTAGCTGGGAATACAGGTGTGCACCACCACACCTGGCTAATTTTTATATTTTTAGTAGAGATGGGGTGCCACCATGTTGACCAGACTAGTCTCAAACTTCTGACCCCCTCCCGCCTTGGCCTCCCAAAGTGCTGAGATTACAGGCGTGAACCACCGTGCCTGGCCATTTATCCTCTCAAGGATGGTCAGGGTGACATTTTGGTGTCTTTCTCTCTAGACCTGAGAAAG